ATTGGAAAGAATGGAAGATTGGAAAGTAGTCAACAACAGAAAAAAGATTTATGGTGAAAATGTTGACCTTACTATTAAAGGAGTATCAAAACTTAAATCACTGCACGTATGCAAAGTAAATACGAATACCACACCCGGGAAACTAACAAATGTTTCAAACTTATGATGCACTGTTTGGAACCTTTGATGTAGTAATGAATATTACTGGAGTTTTTTTCCTACATCAAACCGTTATTTTCAAAGAGGAAGATTAAAACTAGAAACTAACGCGAAGCTAACCCTATTTATTCTCTTTGGTAGCATACTATATAGCTTGTTAAAATAATATTGTTGGGTTTACTGATTACATAAGGACACATTGCAAATATAAATTTAGATAGGCAATATTGTAAAATTAATTTAGGTTGGTATACCTGTATGGGTGGTACAGCTTTGATGTATATTGTGTCAATGATAACTGGTTGAGTGAAATTGATTTGAAAGTATTCAACTTATCAGGTTATTATTTAGACAGTTATTACTGTAGACAAAAACATATTCATGGACGCGTTGCCATTTTTGTTAGAAAAAACTATTACTTGTGAACCTCTCGGTTTCAAGGAATTTTGTATTGATTTGGATATAGAAATATATGGCATCGTATAGTCGCATGGTATACGGCATAGTGTTATGGAGGGATTCTTGTCATTCCAGAAAAGTGTTTGTATTGCAAAAAAGAGTTATACGTTTGATATCTAATGTTAACTTCAGAGATCATTGTCGCCCTATTTTTAATCATCTTAAAATCATGCCACCTCCTTCAGCTTTCAATGAAACATTGATTGAAATTATTCAAACTAGATCAAACTACATTTGACAATCGCAACAACATTAATATTCAACAAGATCAGAAAATCTGATGAGAACTGAGAGATTCAGACTAATCACCTCACAGAAAAATTCGTTGAATTTGAAATTTCCACGACACATAAAACGACTCAGTTTCTACTGTTTCAAGCAAACAAGATATGTGTTTTGAAGAATTCGTTTTTGGTGTCGGGTTTTAAATCGAACCATAGTTACAAATTCTGTCCGCCATTTTGGAGCCACCATCTTGATTTTTTGCATTGAAAAACAATTCATAAATTACGACCCTGAAAACCACCACTTATCAATTTTAAATCAAATCGGACCATAATTGCAAATCTTGTCCGCCAGTGTGAAGCCGCCAGGTGTTTTTTCCCTAGGAAAACTCCATAATGCTTTGTCACCGAATTTATGTCAAATTAGCTTGCGAATGAAATATCATAATCTGGAATACGGAACAGATTTTTTCCCGCAAGAAGGTGCCAAAATCGAAAGTTAGGTAGCTAATATTGACATGACGGAATTCCTTATGAAATTATCTTTTTGATGATGTGTCACACTACTTTCCCTATACAAATTGTTTGGGTGATAGTCACCAAGGGGTGGGGAAAGAGGTATGGCAGTTGAGGTTATGATAGGAAGATGTCCCCCTTGGATTAAAAATCGACGTGTTTTTGCATTTTTTTTTCAGAACACATGTGTTTTGAAGATATTCGATCTGTTTCGTTTTCGGTGCCCCACCCTGTATGTTATGCCATTGTGAGTTCCGACTTTCAGTATCATATTTCCGAAAACATTTTACAAAAAACATAAATATATTCATTTTGGGAGACGAGCATCAGAAAAATCAGAACTGCTTTATTATTCCGCGGTGCACATTTGTCGATCCCTCTGGAGTGGTCGAACATGCAGATATAGTCAGTCTGCCTGTAATAAATAAACACAAATTTCCATGACGGTCGACCACCGGTCTGCTAGGGGGATTATGCAAATGTAATCATTGCACTGGACCTACGCATACTCTAACTTGAATCATATACCCCATTATAGTACGGTCTTAGTTGTATACAGGGAGATCAGTTGGAAATTATATTACGCTGTTTCGATCGTTCTAGTAAACTTTCAAGAGCCGCCACCTTTTCAACACAAATTGTACAAATTGATACATTCATTCTACAGAGTGTCAATTTAGGAAGCATCTATTCTAAGTGAAGATGTACACAAACCTTAAGTCTTGAAAAGAGAGACAAAAGATAATGTTTTGCAATAGTTGTTAAATTGCTCTCTAACAACCTGTTGGTCCAGTGGTTTCTCCTTAGTTTCATGTATCTCATGTATTATTCGAACGATATAGCTTTCTGTTCGAAGCAGAAGCATGCACTGATATTAAAAATGAAAGTTGAAATTATTTGGGTTTCACACAACAATTGCCAATTGAGGTGAGTCTGTTTAGGTTGTTGTACAAAATCTTATTGCTTTGTGTGCTGCTTCTGTTGAGCAATGGAACGAGTTTTTTCAAAAAATTATTGCAACCACTCAACCATAGCATACAAACAAGAATTTCTCAACTAGGGCAAGGGAGGCCACAAAATCAATCGCTTTTATTCATTATGTTATTTTGCTGTTATGAATTTTGTAGTGGAGTTGTACTGAAATAAACATGCTGAATTTGTCGAGAGTACATCGAAAAAAGAAGTGATTATCAATTTTGTAGCTATGTGATGGAACTATCCGATATACTTGATGAGAATCTATTCCAACGTATTCGAATAACAATTTATTATGAGATTTTCATTCAACCGATATCGACAATACAACACACATTCCTAGAAACAATGAACCTGGAGAAACACCAAAATAATATCGACCCAAGTACCTACAGACAAATTAATCAATAATAATAATAATAAATGGGCTTTATTCATTGACAATTACCTAGTATACATTAGTAAGTGAGTAATTCATGAATATTTGTGAAATTGAGAAAGAAACANACAGATTTGAATTTATTGAAAAATAAGGATATGATAGTATTACAAATCTTACAGCTGAATAAAAGGTTGTGAATACAAAAAATTTGAAAAATTTTACAAAATGTTCTGAAAAAATTAGAATAGGAATGAGAAAATATTATAAATAAGAGAGCTTTTCTGCAGAGCATTCATTTTTATACAAGAAAATGATTTGGTCTTGCCTTTTTGATGAACCATCGAAAAGTTCTAAAATTCCAAACTCAAAAAAACAAGCTTTTCCATGTTAATAATACGGGAAATTGAAATTCACCAAGCGTGATCTCCTAATATCAATATTGAGGGCTGTGGTTTTCACAGATTTCACAGATATTAAAAAAAGTCAGCAGAACGGAAGTGTACTCTTATAACACAAGTTACTTATATATTTCAATAAAATGTATTATAATCTTCGAGGCAGAACTGTTAAAGTTATATGATGATAGTACAATATTATAAAATTATTACAAAAGGCTCAACTTACTAACTGTTGGTGAGAATGGTCGTATCGAAAAGAATGTTACTTTTGAACTATTGAAACTTGTCAAGACACTAAATTGAAAAAGGAATCCTTCTCGCCAATATAAAGAAGGTTATTTGAATTTATTGGAGCCTCTGGAGGCACCCTACATTTTGTTTTATAAGAGAGAGGACATTGTTATATCAAGATCTTCAGATGATGTGGTGCTGCAGGTTTTTCCGGGTTTTCCTGCAGCTGAAAAAGCAAATGCGCCACTGGAATCAATGAAGTCGCCCCGAAGCGTCAATTAATTTTTATTGTTGTTTTTATTTTATTTTTATCGTTGTTTTAATAAAAGTGTAATGTGAAAAAAAAATTACTTATTGAGAATCGTTATGGTTTAAAACCATGATTTACCCGTAAAACCCACGTGGTTGAAGACCAAAGAGAAAGACATAGAACAATTGACACTGACAGCTGTCATGTGATTATGTTTGAAAATGTGTGTTTGTTTGTCTATGTCAAAACTATGGAACAAAAGAAAACAGCTTTGGTGCAAATGTGATATAACAGCAGATGACTCTGATCACACTTGCACCAAAACTATTCTCAATTGTTCCATAGTTCTAACATAGACAAACGGACAAACCTTCTTCAAACTCAATCACATGAGAGCTGTCAGTGTCAATTGTTCTTTGTCTTTCTCTTCGGTACTCAACCACATGGTTGTACGGGTAAAATATAATTTTGAAACAACGATTTTTATTAAGTAAATTTGAATGATATTCTTTATATTAGTGAGGAATCAACCTCTTTTGATGAAGTGACTTGTTTTATTGTATTCACATAAATGTTGTATTGATATGAATGTTGAAATGAAACATTCTTTTCGACATAGTCATTTTCACCAACAGTTAGTTCCTGAAAATAGCCGACTTTGTCATAATTGGTCCTACTCTCTATTCCTTCCCGTTAACGAGATACCCATGCATAGACTCGAAATTTTATTATTGCCCCGTATATTTGTCGGTTGATTTGAAAAAATATTTTTCATCGAATGCGGAAAGATAGTCGAATCCCACACCAAACCATATAAATTCAATTCCTTACCCTTGTAAACAGCTATTAGAATAGGATAGTCAATGACCATTTCCTGGTATAATTTTACTTCGTTGCCTCGATTTTCTCAAAAATTGGATTGAGTTTCTAATTACTCTTACTCCAGGTTTAATTTTATAGTGGCTCTTATTCGAGCACGCAAAAATTGAAAGTCCCAACGTAAGGTGACAAATAGAAACATGGCATTTTCGTGAAGAAGTTTCTAGCATCGGAACTGAGTAACTATTTTGTTTGGTGAAAAAGAAAAATGAAAACTACCCTTTAATCACCAATTTTGCAAAAAATTGACTTTTTTTCAAAAACTGATAATGATAGTAATAAAAAGCAATAATGTGCCATCGATGCTACAATTGACAGTTTTTGAGTCATTTCAAAAAGTTTGCAGTGTTTTGCAGAATTAATTTTTTTCTTCAATTTTAGGTTCTATTCTTCCAAAATTGAACATTTCAAACTCGTCAAACTTCTAGAGCATATTGAACGCATATAAATGACGTGAACTGTATAGTGGTGAAAATGATTTTCATTTGAGGTGGTAAATTTGGGGCCGAAAGAAATTGAGGTCAATATTTAACTGCTATTACTTGCTTAGTTTTGATTCCATGAACATTTACAGACAACAATGATTAATGTTACTCTAAGCACTTCAAAAAAGGTTCGTTGAGTTTTTCCCGAAATATCCATTGTATGTAAATTTCTCGTTAAAACTTTCTACTGTTTGTATTGAGTCTACGGTCACAATTCTTTTTGTTATTTCATGAGCTACATTCAAACTTGAAGCATTTTTTTCGCTTAAATACTTCAGTTTTGAGATATTAGCAAAAATCTTCCGAAAACATGGGTAACAGATCGAAAGTTGCTTAGAAGTAGTCGAACTATCTATTCCCAGATTCACCATCAATGATATAATTTTCACCCCAGAGACGGAAGACAACTACAACTAGAGTAAAACCAACCCCCGGTATAGAGTCAACTTTGAAGCAGAGGGTAACTAGAATCCTAATCCAAATTTTTGTGCGAATCTGTTTGACAAAATCATCGAGTTTGTCCGTTTTCTTCCTTCACAGGAGAAGTAGTAGGTTATCTAGAAAAAATCACCAGAAACACAAACTTTAGTAAATGAATGTATTCAAGTTTATCATTCTTAAACATTACCTGATTGATGTTTGACAAAATCGTAAACAATTCGACACCAACATATAGCACAACACTTTCACTTCTATTTCCACAATCATCAAATCTACCGAAAAACTGAGTAGAAAACGCGAAGAAACACGTTTCCATGGAAATAAAGCAAAAAGATGTTTCTTCAGATTGTGAATAGTTGTCAAACCGAATCAAGTACATTCGCAATTTTGCGCCTGACAGTGACAGGAGCAATTTTTTGTCGAAGCACGGCTACGTTGATGATAATTTTTATTAGTCACATCATTGTCGCTTGTATTTTCACAGGGCCGCATTTAGATCGACAGAGATCATTGTGATGAAATTCAGCAAAGTTGAGAGGAAATTGAAATTTGGTATTTTTATATGATTGATGGATTTTTACAGATTTCTGACAGAAAAACAATTCATTTTTGAAATATTCTGAGAAGCATATAATATGTTAGTTGATTTTAGTTAGCTGAATAATTTCAATAGTGATAAAAAAGTGTTATCTTACGAAACATATGGATGAAGGTAATGAGCGGTATATGTTGTTGCACTAGTTTCGCATTAAAATGTGATAATGTTATAAAAGGAAGGCGAGTGATATAATAGTTACGCAGAAAAAATAAACAATGTGAAAGTGAAAACATAGTTCGTAAAGTAGTATTAATGAGGATGATAATAAAGCTCTCATTCATGTGAGCAGTACATAACAACATACTAGGGTTCAGGATTTGCTTAGCTAACATGAGCATCGAAAAAGTGATGAACTAGTTGTCTCGGATTCTCGAGAATGAACTTCTTCAATGCATTTTTGAATTGAGGCAGATATATCAATATTTTCAACCGTTCAGGTAATTTATTATATAATTTTAGTGCTAAGTATTGAAGAGTACGTTGTATTGTTTTTTTTCATCATATAAGGAACTGGGTGTTGATTTCGACTTCGTGTTTAATATGGATGAGTAGTGAGAACTGGTGTTTGTGTGGAGTGATATTTTATGAGCTTATAATGCACTGTTTGGAACCTTTGGTGTAGTAATGAATATTACTGGAGTTTTTTCCCAACACCAAATCGTTATTTTTAACATCTCGACACGTGTTTCGATCACCAAGTGATCATCTTCAAAGATCACTTGGTGATCGAAACACGTGTCGAGGTGTTGAAAATAACGATTTGGTGTTGGGAAAAAACGTCAGTAATATTGAATTCATATTTTATGAGTGTAAGGAAAAAGTTTAGCTGTCTGGTGTCCATGATTTTTGCTTCCAGGTACAGTTGTTGATCTCATATAATCGATATTTTGAGAAAATGGGCTTATAAAACCGTTTTTGACTGATTTCTAGTATTTCATAGTGAAAATGGCTTTCCACTAGTGCGTGGTATAGTATTTTTAGTGGGTGGGTTGGTAATATTATGTTTTTGAGATATTTGAATCTATACAGTATAGTCTGTAGTTTATCAATAATATATTTTATATGAAAATTCCATCTTGAGTGTGAGTCGATTATGACTCTCAGATATTTAATTTCATTGAGTGGTAAGATATGGCATGGCTTGTCAATTATGTTCACTGTTAAGTTATCGATTATGGGTTAACCATTTCTGTTACAGCTAAAAGGGGCGTAGTTTGTTTCTTCTAAGTTCACTGTAAGTAGTTTACTACTCAAAAATATTTTTATTTTACTAAACTCATTTTGAGTTTTTTCTTTGAGTGCCTTCCAGGTATCAGCAGTATAAAGTATTGCTGTATCATCAGCAAAACCAAAAATAAATCCATAACTTTGAAAAGAGTATAGTTCGTTCACGTATATATTGAAAATAATGGGTCCTAAGACAGTACCTTGTGGCATTCCGTATTCAATTTTTCTCATTTCGCTGATAACTTGGTCGAGTTTCACTCGTTGATATCTATTTGAGAGGTAATTTTCTAAAAGCTTCAGGCTCTGTCCTCTTACACCTATGTTTTCAAGCGACCTCAAAAGCAAACCGTGATGAACCGTGTCGAATGCTTTGGAAAGGTCTATGAATACACAAAGACACGGTTTGCTATCAGTAAGTGCTGTGGTTATTTTAGACATTAAAGTCATCATTGCGTTTTCGGTGGATTTCTTTTATTGAAAGCCAAATTGATGTTTAGAAATTATATTATATTCATTCAAGAATTGAGTTGAGCGATTTTTTATAGCTTTGTCAAACATTTTGGGAATGTGTGTTATGAGGGAAATAGGTCGGTAGTTTGTGATTATGGTGTGGTCCCCTTTTTTGTATGAAGGAATTATGAGTGACTCTTTAAAGTCTGACGGCCATATACTAGCTTCGAAACAACTATTTATTAGGTATTTAAATGATTCTAGAATATGTTTTGCTATTGATTTGATGGTTTCTGATCTGATGTTATCTTTACCGGTAGCTTTTTTAATTTTCAGACTTTGAATTATGTAAAGAATATTACTGGAGTTTTTTCCCAACACCAAATCGTTATTTTCACACCTCGACACGTGTTTCGATCACCAAGTGATCATCTTCAAGAGGAAGATAAAACTAATAACTACTCAAAACTAAAGCTACTTATACTAATCAGGTACATCATACAGGTAGGTAATCAGTAATACCACCCATACAAGTGTACCACCCTAAATTAATTTTACAATTGGCCTTTCTATTATTTACAATATGTCCTTATGTATGTTTAAATGTTACAGCTATATATAGAACAATTTTCATCTATGGATTATGTTGTAGAGCTCATTTGTCTATAGGAAGAAGAACCAAGGAGTTGCATACATTCTTTTCAACTGGTGTATAGGTTGCTGTTTTGTTAATTTTGCTTGCTAATGTTTTTCGGATGGCTGCAAATACTTCGTTGAATTCGTTGGTAATATCTTTTTTGTCGGTGATGGGGTTACCTGTACTATCTTTAACAACGTCAATGCTTCGTTGAGTTTTTATCACTCTTGGTGAGTTTTTTCACCACGATCCATAATTTTTTTGAGTCATTATTGTTGTATTCCATTCGTCTTGTGTAATATTTTTGTTTGGTTATATTTATCAAGGAGGTTAATTTGTTTTTGAATTTGTTATATGGCTGTTTTGATTGTAAGAACCAAAGAGTTGCATATATTCTTTTCAACTGGTGTATTGTTTATTGTTTATTTTGCTTGCTAATGTTTTTTCAATGAATGCAAATACTTCGTTGAATTCGTTGGTAATATCTTTTTTGTCGGTGATGAGGTTACCTGTTGTGGATAGTGGATACTGGATAGCTTCGAAAATAGTCTCGGAAATGTATATTTTTTGGAACTTTTGGTGGGATATGTTTTAAAATGGATCTTTCAGAGTCCAGATATATTTAAATCAATCATTCAAAATGAAAATACCATAACGTGAAACGGAACTAGTGATACAAAATAATTTCTAATGAGTATGAGTTCAAAGCAACTTTGAGTATATTATTTCAGTAGTTTGATTGTCTATGATTTTGAACCTCAGTTCGGCGGTCGTTCCAAGTTCAAGTTTTTCCAAGAAAAGTAGATAATTTCACATCTGAATGCCTATGTAGGCCTAGGATTAACAAAAAATAAGGGGTCAAATAAAGAACAGAATACGTTTCATAATACTTTTGCATTGTTGTGAAAATGCTTCGATTAGGTATGAGTCCGACACAAAACATGCAAGTAATAATTTTTTTCTAATTTTTCGAATTTTTTTTTTTGTTGTCAATCGAATTTTGTCCATCAGTGAAATATATGTCGAATATTTTGATATTAGGCAAGATCAAACAATTTCAACAATCTTCACATATATCAACATTTTTTTTACAAAAAAAAAGAAATTGAATCTTCAAATACTGATAACACAAATGTTCGGGTGAAAGATAAATTCGAATGGAAATTCTAACATTTTCATTTGAGAAGACTTGTTGAGGCATTTTGCCCTGTTTCTTTAGCAAACGTACTTTGATCTTCATTTTTTCAGTAAGATATCATATTCGAATACAATATTTGAACGTAAAATTTTCCGCACTTGTCGATTTCACTATCATATATAGCAGTTCTTATTCAATCACAAAATTAATTTTGAAATGATCTTGAAAATGTCAAGAACGTATATATGTCAAGAACGTTCCAACAATTACTCGTTGGAACTCACCCGAAGTTGCTTATTTTTCATCACTCAATTCGTGAGTGATGCAAAATAATCGAATCGAAACGTCGTGAAGTAACTTGGTTTGGAATATTTCAATTTTTAATTTTCATTTCCTGTCAATAATTTTTAATTTTCATCTCGTATTAATAGTTCAATTTTTTTGATTGTTTGGTTGTTGCTTGTATTTTATTTCATTGAAATTTCAGTTTCTTTTGCTCAATATAATTGGTATTTTTTAGCTAACTTTTTAATTTTTCACAGATTGTTTCAGGGATTTCAAATCAATTCATATGCTATTAGACAATGGAAGTCCGAACTAATGAAATGCGACAAATAGTCACTTGAATTAAAACCTTATCATTACGTGTAGATGAATGGATTAGGCAAAATCATCACATCAACTGAGATTAATAATCTCGTTGAACGAAAGTTTTTTTCAAACTGAATCAATACCGGGTGTTAACCGATTCAGGCTCGCCCCATAACTTTTTCGTCTCTCCTGGAATCAATGTTGAATTTCAGTGCTTCGAATAAAATCAAAATGTGATTTGATTGGATCCGAAATACTTTTGTATTATTTCCACTTTTACAGAAAATTATCCCCATCAATAATATTCAATGTGAAGTTTCCTTTTGTCAAAAAAATACGTCTAGGAGGCTGCCACCACTGAAAAACATTTGCCCAGTTACCATGATCTAACACTCATTAACATTTTTTTTGTCAGACATTTCAATTTTATGATGTCGCTATTTTTCTCAATGGCACCATAATTGAAGATAATATTATTCAGAAAGATTTCTGTTAAACCAAACTTTTTAATTAATGAACATCCATTTATACAAAATCATGATAATCGTGATTTCAGTCGAAATTACAACCTTTATCAGAACATACCCATTTATCTTTCTGGTTGTGATTGAAACAATTGAAAATAACGATTTTACATGTATTTGTACCCAAAATTCAACAAAACTT